AGCAATAAAACCAACGGCTAGAACGAAAAGGGGAGCTACGAGGAGAAACATAACTGTTATTCTAAACATGAAGAAAAAAGTTGTTAAACCTTCTATGCTTGCCTAATTTGGTGCAATTTTGTGCCAGTACAAAACAAACCTTCCAGAACTTTCTCTTAAATCTAGTATTTTGGCTCGGATTTGCAGATCTCATCAAATCGATATCTGTTTGACATTCCTTCAATCCAACACTAATAAACATATCACTGCGCTCATGTACGAATGTCATATCGTGTCCGCTGTGAACTCGTTGAATCAATGATGTTGGGGGGATCGCGGGGTGGGGTGACGAGATGTTATGGTAGTGACTATATGAGTGCGTCCGAAGCGTTAATCCGATATTACCTGGTATACCAAATTAGTTGGAACCTTATTAAATAGACCAAAGGCTCAGATTAAATGTCTGGTATCAAATCAGCCCCGCTAAAATTGTCCCTCACGATAAAAATTCGGTTATGTAATCACATGTCAGCGATTCTGTCATCCGGAAGTCTCCCTGAGTCAGCAAAGCCCAGCCGAGACCGGTTTTTCGCTAAACAGTAATCGTGGATCAATCCGAGCTGTGCTGGCTGATAACACTGATCGATAACCCATTATCTAAGGGAACCCGAGTACACAGCTTCTATGATTGCGACGTATGGAGGTAAACATGGGAAAGAGGACGTCAGAACGACCAATGGATGACATATAAAAAGAATCGGGACGAAGTTTGATTTGAGGGCTAAGCGGGGACATGGAATGTAAATTGTACTTTTTCATAGGTCTTAGGAAGTAAAGGCTATACTTTTGGAACTAGGCTGAACAGAATATTTTAGTCTAGCGCAGAAGAAAGGTTAAGGTAATTACCTGCTTCTTAACTACATGACCAGGTAACCGATGATTACGGACTTCCAAAATGGCTGGAACTGGGAACACTCAGAGATGAGAATACACATCCTAATTTTAGGTCATAATGATGCAGCAGATGTCTGTAGGTTTCAAGAAGTGTTGAGAAAATTCATGTTTATAAGCAAAAGCGACCTTCTTACTCTAACCTTATACTATTCTCAAAACGGAAAGTATGTTCAAGGAAGCAGATGGTGTTTTCTCACATGCAAACAAGATATACCATTTTCGTCCGAAGACTCGAAGAGTCATAAACTCAAAGAATTCTGGAAATTTATAGTGGAGGTCTGCAGTCAACTCAATAGTGTGTTTCAAAGATGTACAATCTCTTGCTTTTCTACAAAAATATTTCCAAAACGCTTACAATTCCCATAAAATTCCTCAGAATATTTTTACATAGTATTAAAAGATTTTGAAGATTTGCGTGCAATATGCAATAATTCTTTTTTTTTCAAGATGTTGTGAATTTGTGCACATATTGTTTTCATAGATTTGTACGTCTCCCAAAAATTCTTTTCTTTTGATGAAATTGCGCAGGAATTGATGAAGCTTTGGAAAACATTTTGTGAAAGTTGTCGCTATAGAGATAAAGAGGAGGAGAAAACTATTAAATGGTTATGGGTTTGACAAAATCAGCACTTTTGACCGAGAAACCTTTGTACCGATACATGACGAAAGAAATTCTCCGCTTGCAAGATAACAGAAAGCGTTTGCAAATAGCCTAGTTTGTAAGCAAACATAGCCCAAATAGGAACAAGACACAATGGAACACGAACACATCACTGTAAAACATCCAAGGAAACAGAGAACTATCAAAAGAAGAATCGTCGACTCACTCAAGTTCTTCAGCCTCTGTGTCAACTTTTCCATCTGCGATTCCGGCTTTGGACTACGGTCTCGTTCATTTCGTGGTGGTGGTGGTACCAGTTCTTGTCTCGACGAATTTAGGCTCACAGATCCAAGTGGGATCTCAATTGTTTTCCCGGGGATGGTACTTGGAATAATCAGTGTTCGGTGTGGTGTCACATCGCTACGAATACTCCGCTGTTCATCATCATCAGCGGAATTCCGCGTAAAAGGAGCTGCCGCATCCGTCGGTGAGAGGCGGCCGCTGCTAAAACACCATAAATCTGGCATTTTTCAAGGAATAAACAGAGCTTGGTAGTGTTTTGAATTAAATGTCGACTGAATAGGAAGAGAGAAGGCGGTGACGACCAAGGGGGTGATGACACAGGTCAGGGTGCGGTAGAATAGCGTGCGCGCGCGGAATTCACGATAGCGGGGGGAGAAGAACGAGGGCGGGGCCCCGTTAACTGCTGCAAGCGGCGGACGGTTGGGTGTGGTGACGTTTTGACGGCATACAGTGGTAATGAGAAGTTTTCTCACAATCAGGGGCAAATTCTTTCTTATCACTTTAATGACCATAAATTAGGCATGCATACCTGGAATTCCAAAGATTTCAGACAAGAGACCAAAAATTATGGATAGCTCAAAATAGTATTTTTGAGAGTATTAGAATTTCCTCCTGAACAGACACCCTAACTTCGCAAAACAACGTAAATCATTATGCAAATCTTCTAACATTATCATCATCACTTGTGAATCATTCAGTGTTTTTCCTTTTTTGCGATTCGGCAAACACTTAGAGAGGCGAAAGCATTTTATGGCCGAAAAAATTCACGATTATCAACGGCGCATAAAAATTCATTGCCAAAAATGTCTACGCATAAATGATGAGCAATTCAAAACAGAAGTCATTATGATATTTTTGAAAAATTGCAAATTCCCAAAAACTTCAAAAGAAGGGCAAAGATTTTGCTTCATATGCGTATAATTCCTTTATTTGTGAATTTAGGGGCTGAGAATCTAAAAAATATTGGTTCAACTATAAT